TGGCCTAGGAGCTATTTCTAGTGATTAAATTTAGCTAAGAAGGAGCTTTCTGACAGAGGCTCTCGCCTGACCTGCCGGTGACCCAACCCCTTCTAACGTGGGTCAGAGAGACTGGGATATCTCATTCCAATAACGTAAAAATCAGAATTAAAAAGAAAACACCATAGAGACCTCTCATCTCGTCAATGAGACTCACGGGAGAAAGCTCATCCGGGTGATCAAGGACCGCAGACACCGGTGGAAAACTTCAGAGAAGAGGGGACGTTGTCAGAGCACAAACAGAGTCATTTGTACTTGTCCTTTCAAAAAGAAAGCCAAGGAGAAAAATAGGTAATAAGCTGAGCGACTTGCTGCCCACAATCGACAAGGGAAACTCACCGTGTGCGTGCTGTAGCTAAAGAAGGGGCCACCCATTTGATTTGCTAGTTAGCCACCACCGCAGAAAAGTCCTCCTCTCCCACCCCCGCCCTACTACAGAACTCTAAGCTCCTTACGTGCAGAAAACACACAACTCTGACCCAACGTTGTGTTGTCTGCCCCTACTACTGGGTCGGGTCCAGAGTCAGGATCAAGAGATGTTTTTTCGGTGAACAGCTATAAAGACACAGCCACGCCCTTGGATGACAGACGGTGGCACGTTGCTGACGGTGAGTGGTGAACCCCAAGCACTCCAGACTTCCAAGACAGACTATGTGAGAGTGCGGCTGTCCCGGCTGGACGGGCTGCCGCCAGGAAGGGCGCTCTCCAACGCAGCACTTGCGGCCGGTTATCCGGCTGCTGCGCGGTCCCGCACGCACCGGCTGCTTCCTCTTGCCTCTCGATCCCCACACCTGAGGAGAATGAGATGGCAAGAGGCCCGGGCTGATGGTGGTACCTCCTGTGGCCCAGTCTCTGAAGGCTCACAGGTGAACAGAGGTGGGCCGGGTCAGAGGGGTGGGCCTCTGATTGGGCCTGAGGACTGATAGGACCCACAGGCCGTCCAATGATCTTGAGAGTTACCTAACCGGCCCTTAGAGGCTCCTGACTCACCCCTGCACCGCCCTGTGTCTCTCTCCACACTCCGCCTTCTGGCAGGAGCTCTGCTCGCCTTTTTCCTCAACAAATCTTCGGCATTTGGCTTCTCCCTCGGTGTCTCTGAGGCCACCAAGAAGTTGGAGTGGTCCAGAGGCTGCCGTTTTCCAGCATCCTATCTGAGGCCTGGCTGGGGCTACCGGAAGAAGGTAAGTGAAGGAGAAAAACGATCATTTCCTTTCTTCTACGCTAGCCCTGAGAGCAGGGTAAAAGAGGTGACGTTGGCCAATAAGCATTGTACTCAGGGTCTGACTTGTTGAACTGGAACTCTTTGTACTGCTAAAGATGAGAATAGCACAATAACATAAAACTGGGCGGAGACTGACAAAAGCGAGTGGTAGGGCTGGGAAGGTGGCTCCGTGGTAGAGCGCTTGCCTCGCATGCGAGGCCCTGGGTTCGATTCCTCAGCACCACCTGAGCAGAAAAAGCCAGAAGTGGCGCTGTGGCTCAAGTGGTAGAGCGCTCGCCTTGAGAGAAGAGCTGAGGGACAGCGCCCAGGCCCAGAGTTCAGGCCCCACAACCGGACCAAAAAAAAAAAGTGAGTGGGGTCTGTCTGAGAGGCGTCATCTCCACGCAAGACAGGGGAGAGGCCGGCTCATAGCCGCCTGTTTCCGCTCACGGATTCAGGAACGTGCAAGGAAGGGGTGGGAAGAGCTCTCCGGCCTCAGTAACTGTGGGGTGAAGCAGGTTGCCGGACCTGAATCTCTGGAGTCCTCCAGAGGTTCAAAGTCTGCGCCTGCTCCTTTACTCTTAAGGTTCAAACTCTATCTCCCTCCCCCTCCCCATCCCCCTCCTCCCCCTCCTTCCCCCTACCCTCTCTCCCAATCAAAACCAAGCCACCAGGTTCTGTGATGAGCTAGAGGCTCCCTGAGGGCGCCAGCCCTGTGGGAGTCTGTGTGAGAGGTGGGAGTCACCCTCCCCGCTCTTCCTGGGTTGAGGATGGACCTGCCTGCGCTGCCTTGTGTCAGTGTCAGTTAGTGCTGACTCAGTCTTGTTAAGATGGCTCAAATGTGGCTGAGTGTGGCCGCGTTCAGGTCTGCCTGCTGTGGGTCTCTCCCCGCTCCTCCTCAGGGCCAGTCTTCCGAGCAGGGCGCCGTCTCTCCTTTTCCATCTCCACTTCCCTCCCGAATTTGCTTGCCGGGGCTTGGATTGCTCCAGTGGCTAAATAGGCTAAAAAAACAAACGTGTGATGGGAATTACCAAAAGGCGTTACTCCTTGGGTCTGAGACCTCAGGTGAGGGCTGTTTGTTGGGTAGGGTCTTTCCCCCACTGAGTGGCCCTCGGGAAGGATGGCCACCTGGGGATGTGCAGATGGGCCTCTCCCCCTCTACTCCCTCCCCCCCCCCCCCCCGCAGCCCCACTGGAGTCTGCAGCCATGCGTGGCCCAAAGATGAGTCTGAGCGTCTGGAAAAGTAGCCACCCGAGGAGAATGCAGAGCTCAGCCCTGCTCTCCAGGGACAGGCATCCCTGTGGCTCCCCAAACCTGCCGGGTTGAAAAGTCAGCCCTCAGGACAGTGCGCCTGCTTGGTCTTTCCTGTTGTAATGCCTTTAAGAGCTCCGAGGCTGGCAGGGTGCAGGTCTGCAGGTCTCTCTGGCACCACCTGGGCCTGTGGGATGGACACGTTTCTGGCCACTGTATGCAAGGCGTTTGTCTTTCTATCACCGCCATGTGCTTTCTCCCATCTCGAAGGACAAGCCTTTCTATCACTAACAGAACCTAGCTGGTGACCGTGCCTAGGGAGGTTGCCTCCAGGTGCATACATATATTAGGGGGAATGCAGTCTACGTAAAATTAAAAAAATAAGAAAAGCACTGCAATAGGCAGTGGATCCTGTTTCTAAGGCATGGAGCGCCCCTCATCATTTTACTGCTTGAACTCCACACGGACTCTGCTACTGTGAGCTGTGCCCTGAGGGCTTGAAAAGGCTTTCATTCATCTTTGTGTGGCTGATTAACTTCCAGGCAAATCTCTTATCTTGCTCTTCAAAGGTCATGCACTTGTGTGTGTGAACACTTTTAGGGGGGTCCATTGTTGTTAATAAGTAAAAGTTTGGTCACTGGTTTTCGTAACTGTTTCAAAGTAAAGGAAAGAAAGGGGGTGGTTCTAAACTCAGAAGGATTCTTAAAATTTGGATATTTGGACAAATGATTATAATCTGTTTCATTGTAACTTAATTATTTTACAATGTATGAGTCATAACAAATGCATTGGTTCAGTTGGTTGTAAATTAAAAGCTTGTCCAAAGGTTTTTCTAAGGTCAAGGTGAATACACTGGTGTGAAAGGAACATCCAAACCTCTGTGAAAATCAAGTGGTTTTGAGAAGGTGGTTTCTGCTCTTGGTAACATTTACAAATAATTGGCTTAAAAATATGATTTATCAAAGTAATTGTGTAGTATTGATCTCAGGACTTAACTAAGTCAAGTTTATCTAAATGTCAATCTTTTGAATGGCCACCTTATAACTATGACTAAGTACCTACAGCCACCATACCTTGTTGCGTGCTCCTTTGTACGCTAGGTATATGTGTCTAAGGGAACTTAATGCTTCTTGGTATGCATGTGTGTGCACACACATGCATGCACACACATGTATGTGCCAGTCTTGGGGCTTTAACCCCAGGCCTGGACACTGTCCCTGAGCTTTTGTGCTCAAGGTTAGGTCTCTACCATACCTTTTGGTGGTTAATTGGAGAAAAGAGACTCATTAACTTCTCTGCCCTGGTTAGCTTCAAACTATGATAATCAGATCTCAGCCTCCTGAGTAGCTAGGATGACAGATTCTGTGGTTTTGTTTTTAAACACAAAGCTTAAATAACTATGCCAAATGTATGTCCTCTTACAGTCATTAATAGCGTCAACCTTCAAGGCTGGCTAGGTGTATGGGATCATAATACTAACAAAGCTTAGTTCAGAAAGGCCTGAGCCATGAATGCTGGCTTCATATTTGATTCTTTCAGATCCTGCTCACATCCCTGCTTCCAGCATGTTTTGCAGACAGTACCAACACCCTGCAGTAAAGAAAGTGCAAGGTTCCCCCCCACCCTTTCCAAGGACATCCTAGCCTTTGCTTCACTCAAATCAAGTTTACAAAGAAATAGAGGTTAAAAACTCTGTCCCAAAGCCAGGCCTAGTGGTACCTGCCTATGATCCCAGCATTCATGAAGCTGAGGCTGGAGGATCCTGAGTTCATCGACAGCTAGGGCAAGTGAGACAATGTCTCAAAAACAAACACAAAGGGTAGGGGGTGTGTCTCAAGTGACCACTCACTGGCCTGAGCTCAAGGCTCTGAGTTAAAAACACACAACTGCTAAGTCCGAAGAGATAAGGGTAAGCGAATTGATCTTTACTCTTGGACCTTCTCATCATGTGGATTTTCTTCCATCCTAAAACCTCTTTGTGTCAGCCATAGCAACTGATCCCAGAGAACTGTCCCACCCATTTGTGTCTAGCCTTCATGGAGCCAATCTACTCACGAGGAACCAAATGTATTTCTAGTTCTGTCCCAAAACAAAAATCAGAATTTAGTATCGTGGCTGGATGTGGTGGTGTGTACGTACCTCTGATCCCAGCACTGAGGAGGGTAAGCACCAAGGAGGATGGAGCTGAGGTACAGAGCACATTCAAGGCCAGTCTGAGCTACATAGCAAGATTCAAAAACACCAAGGGCTATCGAAGTAACGCAGTGGTAGCGCACTTCTCTACTCTGCGTGAGTCCCTGGGGTCTGATCGTCAGTACACACACACGTGCACACATACACAAAAGTCAGTGTCATTATGCTAGTGGAATTTCATTATGCTCAGGATGTCACACACCTGTCCCCTCATGTACCTATCCCCTCTCCAAAAAAACAAAAACACGAGAGAGACTTTTGTAGGTTGCAAGTCCTGCCTGGTTTATTTATAAAGCAATAAATATCATAAGCACGAACAAGTTGCACGTGTGTAAACAAACTGTACAATGATTGAGAGATGGGGGGTGGCTTGAAGCTGATTCATCATCCTGGACAGAAGGCAGACTAAGAGAGGGCGCTTTAGAAGCACTTGCGGTGGACGATGGAGGGCCCCGCCTCGTCGTACTCCTGCTTGCTGATCCACATCTGCTGGAAGGTGGACAGGGAGGCCAGGATGGAGCCGCCGATCCACACGGAGTACTTACGCTCGGGGGGAGCGATGATCTGCAGAAGGAAAACAAGAGTGAATTCTCCCTGCCAAGGAACCAGGCGCTTACTGGAAGTTTCATACCATCAGGACGGCCAATCAGGAGCTGCGAACTGTCTTCTAGAATTCCCCCACTTTTCTCAATTAGCGTGTAAAAATATCAACTTGCTGAAAGACCGGGGAAGGATGTCAGGGAAAGTTAGGAGTATCTAATATGTTCTTATGATGGAGTTTCCCATCCCCCGCCCCCTACACAAATATCCATTCTTATTCACTGTTTGAAAGTATCTTAAAACTCTCAAGTTAAAAAAAAATTGAAAATTGTTGTAGAAAAGCTAGGCGGTAGGGTGGGATGGCCAGGCAGCTGCTGTGAGGGGAGCGGAGGGTGGGGAGGCTCTCCTCGGAGGCGCTCTACCTTGATCTTCATGGTGCTGGGGGCCAGCGCGGTGATCTCCTTCTGCATGCGGTCAGCGATCCCGGGGTACATGGTGGTACCCCCAGACAGCACGTTGTTGGCGTACAGATCCTTGCGGATGTCAATGTCGCATTTCATGATGCTGTTGTAAGTTGTCTCGTGGATGCCGGCCGACTCCATGCCTGGAAGCAAGATTTTAAACATTGGCCTGTTCAGGCCAGGGTGGAAGGAAGAGACAGGATTCTTCTAAATTGGTGAGCTGCCACCATTTGTCTGGAAAACATATGGCCATCATAAGGTACCCCACAGCAAACAGGAGGGAGCAGGTGTCTCTTAAAAAGTGCTGACAGACAATCCACCCACAACTGCCAAGAAACAGACAACTGTGCTGAGCACCTGTTTGCAGCAGACCTTTCACCATCCGATGTGTGTGTGTGTTTTAAATTTATGGTCTCATATCAAGAGGCAAGCTTCTGAAATTACTTAGGAAACTTAAAGGAAAGCCCAGCTTCTTGCTAATGGCATTAGTGGAGGAGAGGCCACTGGCTTCCTGCATGTGTGAGATTCAGTTGCTGCCAAACAGCCTCTTTTGCTGGGAGATGAATTCAGCATGCCCTAGATTATAGTGCTACAGCACAACGCTTTCTGTCTAATGACCCGTGGGGACTTGAGGCCGAGCCGTGGGGGGCTCCATGCTGTAACTGACTCACTCCTAATTATGGACTTCACTCTGCAAGACCCCGAGATTTCCAGGGAAAGCTGGAACTCACCAATGAAGGAGGGCTGGAAGAGCGTCTCAGGGCAGCGGAAGCGCTCGTTGCCAATAGTGATGACTTGACCGTCGGGCAGCTCGTAGCTCTTCTCCAGGGAGGAGGAGGAGGCGGCTGTGGCCATCTCATTCTCAAAATCCAGGGCCACGTAGCACAGCTTCTCCTTGATGTCACGTACGATCTCACGTTCAGCTGCGGAAATACAGGACGGTCAAGCTCCCAAGATGGAAGTCAGTTGTGGGGAAGGAGACAGACACACAGACACACACTCACTCACCAGTGGTGACAAAGGAGTAGCCGCGCTCGGTGAGGATCTTCATGAGGTAGTCAGTGAGATCCCGCCCGGCCAAGTCCAGACGCATGATGGCGTGGGGCAGAGCGTAGCCCTCATAGATGGGGACATTGTGAGTCACACCGTCCCCAGAGTCCAGAACAATGCCTGCGAGGGGAAGGTGACCAGATCAGGGTCAGGCCTGGGGACTGCTGCTCTGCCCAGCCACAAACTTGCTCCAGGTCTTGGCTGAGAGAGAGACTGGGAATGGGTCCAGACAAAATCATCTCCATTACACGCAAGAACAAGAAGGCCCGTAATTCGTGGATACGTTAATCTGAAGGCAATGGCAGTTCATCTTTTTTAAAACCACTGTAGAAACGCTTCCCAAGGAGACGTTCAAATGACCATTTCTCTTACCAGCCATTAGCCCATCATGGAAGCATCCGGGCATGTTTTTTCCACTCTAACTGGCGCGTGCTTAGGATGCAGGCCCTGTAAACATGTGTGTGCTTCTCTGACATGCTTGTGATGATATGCTCACATTGGGGACTGTGACAATCCACTGCGGCATGGTCTCCGCCTCCGTGCGGCACCCTGCACCTTAAATACGGGAAAGCTCCAACTCCGCAGGCTCCGAGCTGCCCCGAGCCGCTGACGCCTCTCCCCTTCCGCTCTCCACGTTGGAACGTGACCCCAGGGCCCAGCCCGTGACCCGTGACCCGTGACCCGAGGATGCCACCGGCCTGGGCTCACCTGTGGTGCGGCCCGAGGCGTACAGCGACAGCACGGCCTGGATGGCCACGTACATGGCGGGCACGTTGAAGGTCTCGAACATGATCTGGGTCATCTTCTCGCGGTTGGCCTTGGGGTTCAGCGGGGCCTCGGTGAGCAGAGTCGGGTGCTCCTCGGGCGCCACGCGCAGCTCGTTGTAGAAGGTGTGGTGCCAGATCTTCTCCATGTCGTCCCAGTTGGTGATGATGCCGTGCTCGATCGGGTACTTCAGCGTCAGGATGCCCCTCTTGCTCTGGGCCTCGTCGCCCACGTAGGAGTCCTTCTGCCCCATGCCCACCATGACGCCCTGGGAGCAGAGGAGAGAAGGTCACGCTTCCTACCGGCCGACCAACGGCCGTCAGCACCGCGCGGTGGCGGTGGCGGTGGCGGGCAGGACGGCCCGGGCGCGACCCCGCCGCGCTCCGCCCCGCCCCGGGCTACACCTGTGGACTCCGGGATGGCGATGGGGGACCAGCGCGCACGCGCCGGCGGGCGGCGGGGGCGTGGCGGGCGGCGGGGGCGTGGCCACGTGGGCGGAGTGCGCAGGTGCGAGCGGGCGGGGGGCGTGGCGGGCGGCGGGGGCGTGGCCACGTGGGCGGAGCGCGCAGGTGCGAGCGGGCGGAAGGGCGGGCCGCCCGTGTGGGCACAGCACGAGGGAGGCGTGCAGGTGCGAGCGGCCGGAAGGGGCGTGGCGCGCAGGTGCGGGCGGCCGGAAGGGGCGTGCGGCGCGCAGGTGGGCGCCGGCGGAGCGGGCGGGAAGCGCGAGGCGCGCACCTGGTGCCGCGGGCGGCCGACGATGGACGGGAAGACGGCGCGGGGGGCGTCGTCGCCCGCGAAGCCGGCCTTCACCAGCCCCGAGCCGTTGTCGCACACCAAGGCGGTGGTCTCCTCGTCGTCGCACATCGTGGCTCAGCTGCTGCGGGGTCTGCGGGGTGAGGCGAGGCGGGCGCCGTGAGGAGGGGCCGCCGGCGGCGGGGCCCGGCGGGGTGGTGCGGCCCCAGCGCCCGCCCGGACGCCCCCGGGCCGCGGCCGCCCTGCACCGCGGGCTGCGGCCGCTAGCCACGGCCGGGGCCGGGGTCAGGGGTGCGGGGCCGGGGCCGGTGTCAGGGCCGGGGCCGGTGTCAGGGGCTGGGGCCGGGGTCAGTGTCAGGGGCTGGGGCCGGGGTCAGGGGCTGGGGCCGGGGTCAGGGGTGCGGGGCCGGGGTCAGTGTCAGGGCCGGGGCCGGTGTCAGGGGCTGGGGCCGGGGTCAGTGTCAGGGCCGGGGCCGGTGTCAGGGGCTGGGGCCGGGGTCAGGGGTGCGGGGCCGGGGTCAGTGTCAGGGCCGGGGCCGGTGTCAGGGGCTGGGGCCGGGGTCAGTGTCAGGGCCGGGGCCGGTGTCAGGGGCTGGGGCCGGGGTCAGTGTCAGGGCCGGGGCCGGTGTCAGGGGCTGGGGCCGGAGTCGGTGTCGGTGTCAGGGCCGGGGCCGGTGTCAGGGGCTGGGGCCGGAGTCGGTGTCGGTGTCAGGGCCGGGGTCGGTGTCAGGGCCGGGGTCGGTGTTGGGGTCAGGGGCGCGGGGCCGGGGTCAGGGCGCGGGGCTGGGCCGGGTCGGGGTCGGGGCGCGGGGCCGGGGTCAGGGCGCGGGTCCGGGGTCCGGGCCGGGGTCAGGGCGCAGGGCCGGGGTCAGGGCGCGGGGCTGGGTCGGGGCCGGGGTCAGGGTGCGGGGCCGGGGTCAGGGCCGGGGTCAGGGCGCGGGGCCGGGGTCAGGGCCGGGGTCAGGGCGCGGGGCTGGGTCGGGGCCGGGGTCGGGGCGCGGGGCCGGGGTCCGGGCCGGGGTCAGGGCGCAGGGCCGGGGTCAGGGCCGGGGTCAGGGCGCGGGGCCGGGGTCGGGGCCGGGGTCGGGGCGCGGGGCCGGGGTCGGGGCGCGGGGCCGGGGTCAGGGCGCGGGGCTGGGCCGGGTCCGGGGTCGGGGCCGGGGTGCGGGGCCGGGGTCGGGGCGCGGGGCCGGGGTCGGGGCCGGGGTCGGGGCGCGGGCCGGAGTCACTCACCGTGCGCGGGCGGGCGGCGGGCTGGGCGGGCGGCGCTGCGTGGCGGCCGCGCGGGCGCAGCTTTATACCCGCCGCCGCCGGGCCGGCCGGGCAGCTGGGGCAGGGGTGGGGGCCCGCGCCGACGCCTTGCCTTATTTGGTCGCCTTGGCGCCCTCCGGGCCCCGCCGAGGCCATTCATGGAGCCGAGGGCCGGCAGGGGCCCGGCGGGCCGGCGGGCCATGTACGGAAGGGGAGGGGGCCGCCGGGGCAGGTGGAGGCGGGGGCGGGCGGCTCCCGGGGTGGGGCCGCGGGGGAGGCTTGGCGCCCGGCCCTCCCTCCAGCCCGGGGTCCCGACAGCTGGGCCGGACGGCGGCGGCGGGGACCGCGGGCCGGGGCCGCAGAGCCCTGCCCGCCCGCCCGCCCGCCCGGGCCTGGCGCGGGGCCCCTGGCCAGCCCCGCTCCCTGCGGGGGCCGTGGGTCAGGGTCCGGCCCAGAGGCCTGCCGCGTCCGCAAGGGGCCAGCCGGGCCCTCGGAAGCGCTGCTCGAGCTCGGGCTCCAGGCTTGAGCCGCGCAGGGTGCCCTGGCCACTCGCTGGCGGTCACTGAGCCTCCTTTTTTGGTGTGCTGGTCCTGGGGCTTGAACTCTTCAAGCCCAGGCACTGTCTCTGAGCTGTTTTTGCCCAAGGCCAGAGCCCTACCGCTTGGGCCACAACTCCGCTTTGGGCTTTTTGTTTTTGGTGGTTAACTGGAGAGAAGAGTCTCAAAGGCTTTATTGCCAGGCTGGCTTTGAACCTTGATCCCCAGATCTCAGCCTCTCTTGAGTGGCCAGGATTACAGGTGTGGGCCACTGTTGCTTGTCTTAAATGTCACAAACTGGGGACCAGAGTCTTCATTCCAGCCGTACCAAGACTGAAAAAGAAAAGCTCCTGGCAACGTTAGAGATAACAGCAAAGGAAACCCTAAGGACAGATCACCCCTCACCAGGGAACGGGCAGCCTGTGGGCAGGCAGTGTCCTCACAGCCAAGGGGGTCGGGGGTTAGAACTGGAGCCTCAACCCACGATCAGCCTCCCCTCCAGCAACTGCCTGTTCTACGAGTCTGTAAACACATGAGAAGCTGGTATAAATGACTGATATCTTCTTGGTGGGAAACAGGTTCAGAAAGTTCCCAGGACTTGTAAGAAAGAGAAATGTAGCAAGAAAGGAGGCAAGGGGGAGGAGAGGGAGACATTCGAAGGACACCGGCCTCTGGTTTGCCCTGGGTTGCCCTGTTTGCTCAGCTCTTGATGCTGCTTGGACTTTGGATGCTGATGCCTTTCCTCCAGTTCACACCAGATAAAAATAGAGCACTGGGCACAGGCACCCTCTCTAGAGTGGTCTGGGATTGATATGCTGAGGAGGCCGCTGATTAGATACTCGTCCTGGGCCTCTGCTCAGAGCTTCCCAACCATGTTTGGGTTGGTCTGGGGGAGAAGCCTTGGGGGCAGCTAGGGGTGGAGCCAGGTGGGAGTGTCAGGCCCACCGCACAACTTGGCCTTTTAGAGAGAGCAGGGCCGCCTCAGCCTGCATAGACACCGAAGAAGCGAAGGAAAGAGAGGTGAGCCTGGTGGCCAGGCAAGTCCCATGCCCAGCACTCACTGCCTGCGTCTTCACTGTGCTGAGCCCCGACTTTACCCTCTGTGAAGGACACAGTCACTTGTTTCTTTTTATTAGTATGTATCAACTGCACAAAACTGATTTCATTGTGACATTTCTCTGTATGCATATAGAGAGCCAGGATCTAATTTACCTTCCTCCAGTTTTTCTTGTCTCCTCTTCATTTTAAAAACCATTTAAGGGTTTTTAAAATTGTTTTCACAATAAGTCTTTCCTTACACTGCTATTGAGTATTGTGTTAATAACAAATTATATATCATATAGAAGACTCAAAGTGAATTTGACCTATTTGAATTAAGTAACATTTTTGTAAAAAATAGTGCTCCTCTTCTCCTTCCTTTCTCCCCCGCTTCCACCTCTCCCTCTTTCTCCTCCTTTCTCCTTCTGCTTCTCTCCTCCTCTCTCCCCATTTCTCCCCTTACCCTGTCTGTCCCCTTCTTCTCTATCCCCCCCCTCCCACCTTTCCTCTTTCCCTCCCCTCTCTTTCCCCTTCCCTCCTCCCTACCCCCCTCTCTCCCTCTCTCTCTCTTGATGTTGTACTAATGCTGAGGCTTGAACTCAGTGCCTGGGCACTGTGCCTCAGCTTTTTCCAGGGCTAGTACTCTACCAACTGAACCATAGCTCCACTTCAGGCTTTTTTGGTATTTGATTAGAGATGAATCTCTTAAATTTTACTGTCTGCTGGCCTTGAACCACGATCCTCAGATCTCAGCCTTCTGAGTAGCTAGAATTACAGGTGTAAGCCACCAGGGCTGGCTTAGCAGCTCTCTTTTGAAGAATGGGGATTTAGCACTGTATTTAGCAGTGTCTCGTTGATTGTGGAACTTGAAGTAAGCCAGTCTCAAAGACTCTGATAACAGTGCAGAGAAGGGCTAGTCTTCCCTGTAAGTAGATATCAGAGGCATGTGCTGGGCAGGGAAAGGCACCATTTCTGGAATCTTCACAAAAGAGGGTGGCTAAAGATTCAGAGAAAACATTGGTAAGTAGAGTAAAACTGAAGCTGATGAGCATTTGTGTGAGAGGAAGTCCTGTTTGACAGGGTCTCGGGAGAGATTCCCCTGTCACTGCCATGGATGGAACACCGTTGTATTGGACCCTGAGTCCTCAGCAGGACTTCAAGGCTCAGATCAGTTCCAGTCCGCCCACCTCAGGCTTATGGATCCTAGCGGGGAACAGTAGATTGGTGAAGGGCCAGTTTTGTGAGACTTTAAAAATGTTTCACATATTTGCGTCCAGTTCATTTTAAAACAAGAAGGGCTTTTCATAATCATTTTTTTATTGTGAGAATACTATACATAGGAGTTACAATTACATGGGCAAGATAATGAGTACATTTCTTATCAAGCATTGTTGCCTCCTCTTTGTTATTCATAATCATTTTTATCATAAGAAAGAATACTTTAGCCCAGTACTGGTGGCTCACGCCTGGAATCCTAGCTGCTCAGGAGGCTGAAATCTGAGGATCATGGTTCAAATCCAGCCCAGGCAGGGGGATTAATCTTAATCTCTACTTCACCACCAGAAAACTGAAAGTGGCGCTGTGATTCAAAGTGGTAGAGTGCTAGCCTTGAGCACAAAAGCTCAGGGACCTGGCCCAGGCCCTGAGTTCAAGCCCTACCACCCAAAGAAAAAAAGAATACTTTTTAAAAAGACTTGTGGTTAAAGTACTCAAGATCCTTTCTTCTAGCTTGTTGACGTGTATAGTACAGTATTGTTAACTAATGTCACCTAGTATGCAACAACACATGGGAACTCCTTATACCCATCTAGCTGTAACTTTGTGTCCGCTGATCAGCCTTCCCCCATCCATCCCTTCCTGCCACACTGGTCTCTGGCAACAACCATTTTTCAATTCCTATAAGATTAACTTTTATGTCCCCTGACGGAATGAGGTCAGATGGCTTTTTGTCCTCGTGTGCCTGGTTTACTTCTGACACAGTGATCTCCAGCTCCAGCCTTGGTGTTGCTGGTGTCCAGGGGACAAAATTCCTTTTCTCTGGTTGTGTGCTCTGCATTTTCCTTATCCTTCAGTTGATGGATGCGTTGGTGGTTCCATTTCTTGGCTGTTGTGGCTGTTGTAATATGCAAGTGCAAATATCTCTGACAGACTAGTGTCATTTCCTTTATATAGCAGTGGGATTTCTAGATCATGTGGTCGCTGTGTTGTAAAGTCTTTGAAGAGCCTCTGTGTTGTTTTCCTTAGTTGCTAATTTGGGGTGTGCCAGGGTTCCCTTGCCTCCACATCTTTGCCAGCAGTCGCTTTTGTCTT